CCTATAGGAGAAAGGACTCTGCATCTCTGGATCCCTCTCCCAAGGAACACTGGCATCTCAAAAACAGATACGATTTAATTGCGCTCCCTCTGTATGCCAGGCACCGCTGTAGCTCACACAGTCCCCTCCATGGCCCTATGAGGAGTTCTCTCAGTGTCCCCATTTTACAGATGTGGAAACTGAGGGGCAGAGACTTAGTGTCCGTGGATGGCTGTGCTAGAGGCAGGACTCCAAGTCAGGTGGGATAGACAGTGTCAGAAACTTGCACCAGGTCAGCTAGTTGCTCTTTGGGCTTCCCATGTCCTCTTTCTGTTTACATCTTCCTGTCTTAGTTTCAGGATGTTCGTGGTTATTGCTGTTGTTATTTTAAAGCTCCAACCTGTGCTAGCTGTGCTGAGGGAATCCGAGTGGGGTGAAACTAACATTTATCAGCCACCTCCTATGTGCCAGGCATCTTTCTGTATTTTCTTATCTGGTTTTCTCAATAGCGGTCGGTGCAAGTAGACATTACCATACTCACTTTACCCATGAGAAAATTGAGGCTCAGAGAGACAATGTAGTGACCTAAGGCCACCCAGCCAGGAAGTGATCTACAAAGTACTATGCTCCAGGTTCTGAGAGGACAAAATTAGACTCCTGTGATCTCTGCAAAAAGCCAGGGCATGTGTCCATTGTGACACTCTGGCTGCTTCAGGGTGGATCCCAGGGGTCTGTTTTTAGAGGCTTTTGAAAACCCCACCAGTTCAAAACATCTCCCATGGTCAGGCTCCAAAATGCTGGACTTTCACCGCGAGAGAGTCCCTTGATTGGTGTCCCTCGGTCCCCGTCATGCTGAATGCCCCAAATGCCATCCAGTGTGAAGGTGATGAATGGGGTCTTTGCTGATGAGCAGCCGAGAACCCATAATTTCGAGGGTGAGGGTTGAGGGGTAGGTGTAGAGGTCAGGAAACAGTAAGGACCAACTTCTCCTCCAGTCACAGCTGATAGTCACTCCATCAGCTGGTGTTGATGGATGGACTCACGTCTCCTTCATCCCAGGACAGAGCAACTCCATGCCCCAAAACAGGCTATGCTGGCTCTGGCCAGTTTGCCAGATCAAACAGCGGGTTGAAGCTGGAGAGGGTTCATGCTTCCCCCCGATCTGTGATGACAACCCTGTTGGGAATGGTCTCGCCACCTCCACGGAGCGGGTGTTCCTGAGACCCTGCCCCTGGCCCTTCTTTTCTGCCTGACCCTGACACTTGACCTCGCCAGGCTTCCACTTCCCCATCTGTAGAATGGGAATCCTCCGACTCACCTCCAGGGGCTGTTGTGAGAATTGCATGCAGTAAGTTGGTACTCACTGAACCGTGAGGAGGACTCATGAGCCATCCCATCCACTCATCCGTTCATCCGCCCACCCATCTGGCATTTGTTTACAAGCATCTGCCAGGTACCAGGTCTGCTCTGTCTCTAGGAGAGTGGTGAATACAAAAGATGATGCTCCCTGCTCTTCTGGAATTTACGGGGAGACTGACAAGAATCAGTAAGTGCAGAAATAAGATCATTTCCGAGAGTGCTAAGTGCCATGAAGTAAATAAAAAACGGCTAATATGACGGTCATGTGGGTGGTGGTGTTTGAGCTGGCTCATGTGTCACTTGACACCTAGGTCAAAGGAGGTCGGAAACCTCCAGGGTGAAGAAGGAAGTTGGAATCACATCTACCCTGTGATCTTAGTCAAGCAACTTAACTCTTGGGCCTCAGTTTCCCCATCTGTAAAATGCAGACAAACGCGTCTCTCCTGTGGAGGGGCCATGAGAACTTAATGAGCTGATAAATGCAAATGCTTCCCGGGTAGGTATTCGGTAAATAAGAGTTTTTGAATTCCATAAAAATGGACAATATTAATCAAAGTACTAATGATGTAAGACATCTCAAAAGAAGCACCTGCCTTAGTAAGTGTAGGATCAGAGGAGCTCGTGGCTGAGAAAACCCAGCCCATGGGAGGGATTTCTAGAGTCTGGTGTTTGGTTCCAGCCCTGCCCCGGCTGTTATCGCTCAAGCCATGATTCTGGGGGTTTTCGGGACCAGCAGGAGGACCCTCCCTCTCTCCCACCCTGAGTCAATACCCAGGCTCCTATGTCCAGGCCACCTGCCTTTCCTATCCTCAGGGACAACCTGGGGACAAGAGTGGGTGGTATCCACTTCCCAGAAAGGTGGGGAGCCCAGGTACATGTCCGTCCACCCGGCGGGGGTCATGGCAGGTCATTTCCATGATGATAGCACGTTTTGTTTTTTCACTTTTTATTTTTATTTTTAAATAATTTTAGCTTTAGAGAAGGCTTCTAACAATAGTCCAGAGAGTTCCATATACCCTCACCCAGCATCCCCTAATACTAACATTCAACATAACCACGTGTGATGAAGAAATTACACTAGGTTCTTACACTATGTGCTTCATACCAAGTCCGCGGAGGGTGGAACGTACCTCAAGGGACCCCCAGATACCTCTTGTGGCCTTTCTGAAGCCACTTCACATCCAGCTTTTTATATGCCTTTCACTAGGAATTGTTACCGGCCCCTCCCGTCACCCCACGGGCAGATGAGGGAACTGATGTCCAGAGGGGTGTATTTCCCAGCAAATGGCGCCGGGCTAGGCCTGGAACCCCAGCTCCAGATCCCCACCTGTGCTGTCCCCACATCACGACACTGCATCCAGAGGCGATGCGTTCTTACCTGAGGCCCCACAATGTCCGGCAGGCTGGGGGGATATGACATCTCGGACGCATATTGGAGATGGTGACAAACTCTGTCTGTCCTCTCTCATCTCCTGGAGAGAAAAACAACAGAGAAGACTCTCATAAAATAAATATTCCAAATAAAGATCTCGGAAGACCTGGCTGCCAAGCAGTCCCCGCCTCTGACCAGCACACGAGGACTCCACGTTAAAGAGAACATGAAAGACGGGAGCAGAGGAGCTCCCAGCAGGGGCTGAGGGTAATAGCACCTCTGCTGACTGTCTCCTACTCAAGGAGCCAAACTGACTTTCCTTCGTTTTACAGATGAGGACAATGAGGCTCAGAGAGGTTAGGCACCGTGTCTGAAGTCACACAGCCCATAAGTGGAGGAGCCAGATGTGGGGGCCCAGGCTTCTTCAGCTGAGCTGGTCTTTTCACACAAGATGCCAGCCCAGCATGGCTACTGGGTCTTTCCCAAATAAGCCCCAGTGTTTCCTGCCCTCTGAGCCTTGACCTCTCCATTTGCCTTTTTCCTATGGGAATCCTGCATCTTTTGACAGGCCTGTATTAGAAGCCACCTTTCCTCTGAAGGATTTGCTGATGCCTTAAATAGAAGGCACCACTTCTCCCTGTGAATGCAAAGTCTCCGAGCCCCTCTTGCCTTTCCACAAACACCTGTGGCCCCCTCGGTGGCAGCTGCGGAAACAGGAGGTGGGCTGGAGGGAACCAGAAGAGTAGGGGGCTGTGGCCTTATGCTCCAGTGGAGGAGGCAGACAGCCAGTGAATATGCAAGAATATATTCAGAGGTATTTCAAGAGTGGTGAGTGATGTGAATATAACAAAAAATGGTGACAGCAAAGAGGATCACAGCAGGGGTGGGGCACTGCTTTGGCCAGGGCAGTCAGAGAAGACCCCTTGAAGGGGAACAGTTGAGCTGAGACCAGGCGAACAAGCAGCTGTGAGGAAGGCTGGAGAGGATATCAGGCAGAGAGAACAGCAGGTGCAAAGGTCCTGAGGTGTGAAGGCCCCCAGCATGATTGAGATTCAGAGAGGAGGCCAGCAGCACAGAGCACTTCTTGCCAGATACCACCTTTTTCCCGGACTTGACCAGAAGCTCCTGTGGGGCAGGGACCATCTGCTCCCCTGTGTCTCCCTTCACCTGGTTGGGACCATCCCTTTGTTCATTTAGGTGAAGTTGGATTCAATAGAGGGACATTTGCTCACCCTCTGGTGTCAACACTGGTCTCTGGCAGCATTCAGTAATATTAAGGCGAAGAAGGGCAGATGGACAGTTCTGGGGAGGGAGAGGCCCACTGGGGACTCACACAGACTGACATGGAGGGGCCTGGACCCCAGAGCTTGAATCCTCAGCCACTTACAATCCAGAGGCTCTGAAAAGTCACTTCTCCCCTCTGGGCCTCAGTTTTCCTCTCTTTAAAATGGGGATAATAACTCCCAGTTGCCTGGGTGTTTTGTGAGGATGAAATGAGGAGCTGTGTGAGACAGAGCCCAGCTCATTCTGAGCCCTGGGCGCACTCACCATGCTGAGCCGGGTGCAGAGGTCACATGCTCAGGTCTCCTCCAGGGTCTGGCTTGGTTCCCCGGAGGAGCCCACAGTGGTTCTTGAAGCTGGCTGCTCACCAGAAGCAACTTTTGCCAAATAAGATAACTCACCCCTTATCCTAGACCCAGATTTAGAAAAATCAGAAATTCCAGGGCAGGGGCCTGGGACTCTGTGTCTTCTTAGATCCTGCTCATGAGCCTCATAGGCTAAGACAAGTGGCTAAGAAAGAGCTCAGGGTCCCAAGTCAGACACACCTGGGTCTGAACTCTGGCTCTGCTTCTTACTAGCTGTGTGACCTTGTAGACATTGCTGGACTCTGAGCCTCAGTTTCCTCATCTGTAGAATGGGAATAATGAAAAATGCACATTAGAGGACTGCTGTCAGAGTCAAATAGGATATTGTATATAAACTGCTTAGAATAGTAACTGGCAAGTGATAAACAATCAGAAAACTACCATTGCTCTTATTATTAGAGTCATTATTACTAACAATTTGTGGGTGACATACACTGTAAAGCAAAAGACATGGTAGGTTCATCATTTCCCATCGTACTTGATTGATTGATTCATTGATTCATTTATGCATTCGTCCCCACACCCATTCGCTCCATCACTCCAGCTCTTCCTGTAGCAGATTCGAGAACTGAGAGAAAACAGGTTCTAGCCAGTTCCTTCTGCAGGGTCCACCTCTGACTCACCTCTGTCGTTTTCTTTTGCAGAATTCTCTACTCTGGTGGCTGAAAGCTAAGAGGCTCTGACTGTCCCAGGTCTCCCACCTCTGCCCTGAACACCCGATCTCAGCCCCTCTTGCTGCCCATCTGCCTTTCTGTTCAGTTTGTTTATGTTATTTTTTACTCCCCCCATCCCTTGTGGCCCTCGAATGACACCATTCTTCTGGAAAATGATGGAGAAACAATAAAGGCTGTACCCATCAGATTCTGCTGTTTGAGAGACCCAGGCCTGCTGGGGTGTGGCGCCCACCCTGGCTTTCCAGGCACACCTGCTCAGGGGTGGGGCAGGATTCAGACAGTTAGAAAAGATGAGATAGAAGGGAAATTTACTGAGCCCCTCCTCTGCCTTTGGTACTAAGCATGGTACCCTACTTGGATTGCCCTTCAATCTTTGAAATCACCCAAAAGGTAGGTGATGAAATTCCCACTTTACAGATGCAGAAACTAAGTCTTGGAGAGGAAATGACGTATCTAAGCCCACATAGCTAGGACTTTGGCTGGCTGGTTGACTGGATGGATGGACAGATGGATACTCATTAAGACTGTTTTTGTTACCCATGATAGAAACCCAACTCAAAGTAACTCAAGCCAAAAAGGAAGAAAAAACAGACTTAGTTATGTTTCTGAATAGTCCATGGGTAGACCTTCAGGAATAGCTGGATCAAGGAACTCCAGTGATTTCATCAGGATCAAGTTCTCTTTTCCCCATCTCTGGGCACTCCTTTCCTTTGTGCTGAATTCATTACCAGGCAGGTTCTCCACTCTGATGGCAAGATTCTTTCCTTCAGTTTTTTTTTTTTAAAAAAAGCTTCTCTTTCACAATCACTCCACGGCCCCAAATTTAGTCCCATTAATACCACAAGCTAATGTTTACTGAGCACTTTCTCTGTGCTGCACCCTTTTACGTGACTGCATCTGTACAACAACCCTGTGAAGTGGGGACTGTTACTCTCTCCATTGTATAGATGAGGAAACTGAGGCACAGAGAAGTGATGTATTTACCCAATATCACAGTGCTAGTAAGTGGTGGGGCCAGAACCCCAACCCTGGTAGCCCCCTCCTGGGCCTACATCCCTCTCTGAACCAGTCCCTGTGACCCCAAGGATGGGGGCACCCTGATTCTGGATGGTGTCCATCTGTGGACACAGGCAGAGCCAGTCACACAGAAAACATTATCCAGCCCCCAGCAGCTCATCACCAGCCTCTGCGCAGCCTTCTCACTTTGCTCATCAGCTGACCATGACTCCTTTTCTTCATTGATATGCTCAGGGGAGCCTCACTCATTATCGCTGTCTCCCTTCTGTCTGGGAGAGGCTGGGAGCAGGTAGGGAGAAAGTGTGCGGCTGCAAGAAGGAGCCAGAGAATCGATTCCTGAATGCTTCTTGATAAGCAGCCTGCATGTGGACAGAGAGCTGAATGATGGATT